AATCCCTAGCATTAACAGGCAAGCTGGAGGCATGAAGCACATATCCAGCCTATTGCCCCTAAGTCTGTCGTTTGTGATGGGCGCCCTATGTATTCACTGACCTCCTCTTTCTGTTGACTTGGAGGTTCTGTTTGGAATTGGCAGTTGTAAAAGCTCAAGTGAGAAGTGTTGCCCTGTTGTTAAAGCAATCAGTGCTAGCTGCCAAGTAAATGGAAAAATATTTATTTCAGTATAGCATTTTAAGGAAGCATAGCCTTCATGTGTGAGAAGCTGGGGTTTTCAAAAGGCATCTGTCTCCCTTAAAATGTGTTGGAAGTTTCAAAGCTCTTTCAGGAACCAACCATAAAATCCTAATGAAGACAACTCACAACATAGTAAAATGATAATCAAATGTGTGGGATTTCTCCCTAAATGAAAAACGTTTTGTGTGCCACTCTGGCCCCAGTCAAATGGGCATGGGCACAATGGTGATATGACAGCACTTTGGAGAAGACCGGCCATAAACTGGTGACTTTCAGAGACTGACTGTGGGACAATAAGAATTTATAGCAGAAATGTGAGTTTTCTGGTTTGTACATGGAAGAAAACAGTAAAAATGTCGTTTTCCTCTATATTAATTCAATTCTATTTAATATATGGATTGTCTATTGGATGGAGTTTAGTTCTGAGATAGCTGCAGTTAATTTTAGTCTTTTTTTGTTGAAGATTTATATTTAACTAAACTGGAAAATATTGAGGTGGATATTGTTAAGGGACCATATCCCTGAAGTCAATGGGTTAGACAGAAAATCACAAACTTCAATGATGCATGACTATAATTTGCAAAAATCCAAGTGGTGTTTTACAGCCACAAGAGAAGAGGGAATGGTGAGAAGGTGTATAATGAGTACTGTAAGTGTGTTTCTCCAGTTATTCCAGTTAGCATCTGGAAACAGTCAACACTGGACAAACTGGTCATGAGGAATTTTGAGGGAGAACATAACTGTTTGTTGAAGTACTACTTACGTCTACTACACAGAAACGAGCTTGTGTTCCCCTTTGGGCAACAGCATGTGCTGCTTCAATAACCACATCATGGGTTACTTTCAGCGATATGACTGATAATACTGTGCAGTAGCTAAACTACTGCAGCGGAATCTACCAGAATTCTCTGTAGGGGCCCCTGTTGTCGGGGTTCATTATTGTTGACTCAAGTCAACAAATTGAAAATAATATTGTGTGATTTTCTGAGTAGATAGTAATTGTGACTTGGATCATTTCCTGAAGACTGTCACGAATGAAAATATTAACACCGTAATGATTTAGCAGCAAATCAAGATTTATTAATGACTAGCAGCACTTAATCATTAACCAATTTAAGGATTTACAAGGTAATTCAATAAAATATGATTAAAACACTAACTTAAATACAGATTCAAAAATGACAAGATTTGCACTAACGATATGATACCCTAAATCAATACATATATAGATGTATATTCACAAGCACAAGACGTACAAACATACAGACAGACAAAAAGCATTTGGATTCAGTGAAATATGTATGTACTCACACTCCTGAAAATGCCTAAACACGTTATTAGATAGAGGAAGATGGGTGAAAGACAAGCTAGTCAGAGTTAAAATTTCCCTTTTCTCAAGTTTAGAGTAAATACTCATGATGCATTGGCATTCCTCATCGGGTGATAATTGAGACTCGAGGGGATCGACTTTGCCCTGGGCAGAGAACCTGTAGGTTCTCACAGCAGATGGTGCCTGGGAGATTGGATACCTGAGAGGTGTCCCAGCTCAGGGGAGAGGCTGGTCCCAGGCCCGCTGTGATCCCGGAGGGCTCAGAGGGTCTCACCTGGGGTCACTATTTATAGGGTCCAAGATAAGTGACTTTTGACAGGTACTTTTCTTATTCTGGCCCAGCTTGAGTGATGAAATATTCTGGTGTTTTCCACCAGTTGCACAGGCCAAGAGCGTGCAGTTCTGTTATTGTTCTCCCTTAACCATGTCCGAGGTACAGATGTATCAAGCTGTCAGGAGGTGATGGACTGTTATAACCATTCCCAAGTAATAAGGACAGCAGGAGCCAGGCTCATCCAAGGGGCTCCTTAACGCTCTGGTTAGCTGCCATTTGCAGTTTGTACCCCCCTAGACTGGTGTGTGCCCCAGGAGGGGGTTGGAATCACACCAAGCACTGAGAGGCCCACCAAAGAGTGGGGGGAGGAATCACACCACCTCAAAGACATAGCCCAGTACGGGAAGTTGGCTAAAATTTGCAAAACTTTTGTTCAGTTTCTGACTTTTACCACGTTATTGCTCTGAGACCTTTGATGAGTCATTTATTCTTAGTTCCTTAATGCATTTTCTGAGAGCAAGCTATCTAAATATTGTAAGTGTACATGCATTTATGTCACTTCTGAACACACTGATGTTATATATAAATATATTCTTATTGCAAATACTGCCAGTGGAGATTCTGCACCTGAATTTTCATTGCTGGGTCTCTATTTGTGTGTTTTTTAGGTTAGAACTGTTCCAGTAATTCCTGCTACTGTTTCAGGCGATTCTTGATCTTTACTGATTTAGTTGGGATGAAGAACATAGATGGGCTTTATCCTGGCAATTGAGAAATAATACTGAGAGAAATTGCCACTGTGATGAACAGAGATATATGTGAAAAGAAATGGGTTTATGACTAAGGACCAATGAAAGTGGGATAGTTACCACCCTACTTCTATTTATCCTTGCAAATAACATGATAAAATATATTTTCTTCAGGTAGGACTAACAGCCAGCCCAGTTGCTGTACCATCTCTCATACACTGTTTTCCATTCTGGAGAATTTAAGTAGGATGTGAAAGATGCTGGCTTAGATTGCCATGAATTACTCCTCCCCTCCTCTCCCTTCCCCCCCCCATTTTTGCTTGAATTCCTTTTAATAACATTATTAAAACCTGGTAACTCATTGTCTCTTGTTCCCCATTAAAGTCAGCTGAGCAGACTGATCTCTTAATGTCAAATCTGGCCTGACAAAAGCCTGCAGCTGTAAGGGTTTCAGAGCAGGTAGTGTAGCTTGTTTTTCCCTTGTAAACTGCAGAATAGACACAGCAGTGCTTTACAAGTGACTTTCAGCAATTAATAGGACACAGTGAGTTATTTGCATACTCAAGGAACTGCTCTGTGCAGTTTGTTCGTATTATAAAAATATTTACTGATTTAATTCACACCTTTGAAAATGCAACATAAGCTAAGAATTTCTCATTTTGGCCCTCAGAACTGTCTAGCATCTCACAGAGCCTGACTGCCACTTTAATTGCACCCTGAACAACAGATTTAACAGACTTAAGAATATGTAATTGCTGAGCTCCTTATGTGTGAGATGATAGGTATATCTGCGATCAGAAGACTGAACATTCTGCAGTTTGTCAGTTTAGTTCTGTGCAGTAGCACTTAACGCTTAGTCAAGAGAGCAGCTTCCCATAGATGATGACATGTTCTGATGTTGTACAATGATGGTGCTGTAAAATGTCATTACTTTAGCTGAACCGATTTTCACTTTATGTTCAAATTTAATGATCAGACTGGCATTCCAGGTGTGGACAGAAATGCAATATCTTCTCCAGAATTAACCAATATGTTAAAATCACTGTTATCAGAATGGCCTTTTCTGGGTGGAATGTTTTATAAAACTGACATTTTAATCTCATTTTCTATTAAAAAAAAATCACATGATCATACTATCGGTTTAGCTGACCCTATCAATTTTGAACCCAGTGGTTAATTCCAATTAGATTTGGATGTCACATCTTTTTAGATATTAACTAAGTAGCCATTAGGCAGAAGTCTGTAAGCTTCACTAGTTCTGATCCTCAGGGAATGAAGCTTAGCAAACAATTTATATAAACAGTTTAACAATTTTTCTTAAGACCTCAGTAGAATTAGTAGAGAAATCTGCTGATAGTATGGATTTTAGTGGTGCAAAATCATAAATCATTTCAAACCACTCAAAAGTGGGCCCAGTTTTGCTCACCTTAGTATAGTTTTTGGCAAATACAGCCAATGTTTTCCAAAGATAATGTATGATGCACACTGTAAAATGGAAAGATTACGGGTTGCCCAGCATGACTGATAACAACTTTCATAAGGAACTGAATTTACCATTTAATCTCAGACAACTACCTTTGTGAACTGGTGAGAAAAATTTGTCAGAAATATCAGAAGATGCTGCTGTTTTGTATTTTGATTTGTGTGACCTGACTTAAAGGCATTTCCACCTCTCTTGTTTGACCTTTGACTGTATATTTGAATTTCATTTACTTTTCCTTTTTTCTTCCTTACAGTGCTGTCTAAATAAATAAAAATACATTCCTGAGGCTGTAATTAATACCTCGATCTTCAGGCATGCTTACCTTTTGACTTCCAGCTGCATTTCTGACTTGCCTGCCACTGTAGTACATAGATGCTCTTCCCAGATTTCAAAAATGTTTGTATTAGAATGTGTATATATACATCTATTATAAATAGATATATATTATAAGTAAAATGAAATATGTGAACATAAAAATGTGTACATGAGTATACATTCCAGTTGTTGGCTTTTGCCTCCAAAAAAAAGACCTAATTTTGATACTTTTTTTCTGGCAGCCAAGCCTCTTTCTCTTCCCAGGTCTAAGTGAGGCAGCCGGGTTTGAGCTCTTTGTTACATCACAGGGAGACGTTTTATTGTTATTTTTATAGGCACCAGGCCTGTGTAGTCAGGTCATCTCTCTTTGCTTGCACATCTTTAATCAGATCATCTACTAAAAACATGTGGGTTTACGATAGAGCCAACTGTAATTGCAAGCTAATCTGCAGCTTCTGCACCTTCAGTGCCTTTGGCTTTCTGCCTGATATTGCTCTTAATAGTTTGTTAATACCAAATAATACAAAAACATTGCTTCCTTAAGCACTTAATAGGATGTACTGTAATGGAGATAAGTGGTCTGTAACGCTCTTTACTTGTGTTTCAGGAAAATGAACTGAAGGATGCTGTGCAAGAAAAGAATCGCCTGAGCCTTCAGTATGCAAGTGTGTCCCACAAAGCACTGCAATATGACCAGGTAACATCAGGAGCACAGATCTCATACATCCATTTGTTACAGAAATCAAGCTGCAGAGCGGGTAAAAGTGAATCGTCTAGTCTTTTTTGTCTGATTTACATGCTTCTACTTGAGAACATAAAATATTTTAATTAAAAATAAATTACAAAAATTTAATTTAGGAACAAATGTTATTTTCAAGCGAAAATGTAAGACACACTGATAGACTTTAGAGAGTCTTTAGACTTCAGAGTCATCATTCCTGTGATGCATATTTTCATAGTATTCTAAATTGGTATTAGGCTTTGGTAAAAGACTTTTTTGGTGATTTTGATGAGACTTGATTGAAAACTTATTTTCTTTTTCTGAAAATACTGGTAGAAATAATTGCTGTCTAGGAGGCTTTTTTCCTATCCTTCCACATTTTTTCTTTTCATTTTTAAATTTCTCAATAAAATGTTGAAAAGCTTTTATCCAGCAGCAAACGTCCAAACTTCTATTTAGCAGTTATTTCCCCTGTAGCATGGCACATGACACAGTCTCAGCTATTCCATGTCCTGATATAAAAAGTATTTTAATAATAAGCATTTTTCTTCAATTCTTTTTTTGTGCCGGGACAGAAAATTTCTCACTACAGCGTGTTTATATCTATGGCAAATACTGCATGGCGTGACTAGCATGGGAGGAGAGGCTGATGTGCCTTACCTCACCACATATGAATTCAGTGGAAGAAACATCATGAACCAGCCACTTCACAGGGCTACGTTTAGCTAAAAATAAAACTCCAATCTGGGATTTCTACAGGGCTTAAGTGAGTTGCTCGGCAACCTCATTCATATCAGAAGAGCTGTAACTCACATAGGCTCCGATGAAAGCCCATCCTCAAAGCTTGCAAAACAGTGGTAGCTGCATGCTTTGGTGTCTCTGACGTGCATGTGTCATAGAGTAGCCCAGTGCTTAATTTCCAAACCAAAGGGGTCTGGTTAAATCCATGAGACAATGCAAATGATTAAAATTTTGAGATGGCTATGCATGTACTCTACATTTTGTGTGTAGCACCTGGTATTGAAGCAGACCTGAAATTTCCTGTTGCTGAGGAATTTAAATTGTTTATATATAAAAAAGACAGTGTAATAATACTTTATGATAGGAAAAAGCTATGTGTATCATAGCATCACTTAATTTTATTCATCCATCTGTCTAGAATTTCTCCCTTTCCTAATGTTTTTCTCTTTATGGTTTACACATTACCTTTACTCTTTACTTCACAAGGCACATAAAGTCTTAGACAGCTTTATATTTTAGCTGACACAGGAATAGCATGCAGCATTAATGCAGTGAAGGCTCAGTACACTGGCGATACTAAAAATGTTAACCCTCTTACTATCAGAAAGTGAAGAATTCTGCAGTTAATAATGCTTCACTGCAGGTAATGTTTGTCTCTTACTATAGTGAAGAGCTTGAGGTACATTGGAATACAGTAAAAGCAGTTTAAAATACAAAGGTAAAATGTCAACCTTTGACACATTAGACACTAAGTAATAAAATTGCCTTTTGCTATTATAGTGTCGCAATTTGTCATACTATGGGTGTTTGTTTCTGCAAATACGTTAAACACTGTGAAAGGCACATCGTAACAATTCTGGATGCCCGCGCTACTAATTTAAGGGTTTTCCTTCTTGTGTAACAGGTTTTCTGAGGGAATTGCTCAGATTTTTCTGTTTGTTTGGGTTTTTTTATCACACACAATGACGTTGAGGATAGATTGTGCAGTTTAGACTCCATTTTGTAATTCAGAAACTGTGAAACTACACAACTTTGGACGGAGAGGTAGGAGCAGAATTCTGGCAGAATTAGGGCTCAGCCCTGAAGGGGAAAACCTGCCTAAAATATTTTTTTTTTCACCCTTGAGAGCTGGCCTGAAAACCAGGCCAACTTTATCCAAGCAAATGGGGCTGGGGGAGTGTTTATGCATTCTGTTACGTAGCATGCATAAAACCACTGCTCATTTTTGCACAAAGTAGTTGCTAAAATTTGACTCTTCAAGGGAGTAGGAATGAAGCTGACCACCCTTAATTCCACAAAATAAAGCTAAAATTGTACATAACTTGCATGATTTAGTTTTGGTATTCTGCATAAGAGAAACGAAGTTGCATTCCTGGAGTGGAAGACTTGTGAAAAGATTTTGTGTCCTTAGGAGTTCTACAATACTGAGCTCTGACTTATTTTCCTGATCATCTGAATATATATGGACTAATGATTTTATTTAAAAACAGAACAGGCATAATATATCCAGAATTTACTTCCACACTAACTGAAATTATATCATTTTCATGGTAGTTTCTGAATAATGTTTTCTGAACAATGCCAGTTGTTTGAGAAATTGGCAAGTCTCTGGAGTCTAGGATTAAGGCAGATGGTGACTTATAAGGCTGATGGAGCTTTTCCCCAATGAAATAAACTTCCATTTTGTTTTGGTGTGATAGTTTTCAATAGCTAGTTTCTGTTTAAGTGTTTAGCAGTATTCTAGCCTTCATAGCTGACTCAAATGAGGGTGCATTTATAAGTGTGAAGGCATGGGATGAAAATTAAATTGCTCTGAACAGAGAAACATTACAGATCAAAATGTTCCCTGTATGTTTGACGGCACTCTATTTAGGTCAACCGTTTTTGCCACTGGGAACGTTGATGTTTTGATGTGCTCTGTGGGTAATTCAGGTTCATGTATATCCCATATGTTCTTGAACAGCCTGCTTGGAGAGAGCATTAAATTCACATTTAAGAACAAATGTCATCTAACCAAACAAACAAAAAAGTAAATGATAGACTCATCAAGTTTTATGCTGCCTTATGGGTTATATAAATGTGTATATCACAGCATTCTAGTGATATACAGTCTTCAGAGGGGAAAGTCCTGGCAAGAATGCCCTGTAGAAATATTAAAAGTCGTCGGTGTGGCTGGAATTAATGAGAGTAATTATCAGAAGGTGGTTGGTAGATTTGGTTGTGTTTCTTTCTAACCTGCAAAATGAAAATATACACAGAAGTTTGTTTGAAAGCTGATCTGCCAAAAGAGACAGTAGAGAAATTATCAGAAACATTTGTGTGTTCCTAAACTTTCACTAATTTAGGTATGCACTTAAAGATCACAAATGAAAGATCTTGAGATGTAGAAAATATCTACAGTTCTACCTGTCTCTAATTCTTCTCTTTCCAAAAGGACATTAGCAGCCTGATAGGTACTGTTTGTTCTGATAGCCCTGTCACTGCAGCAGGAAAAACCACACTGAAGAAAAGTGCTGTGCCTGCTGGCTCCCAAAAATTATTCAGACTATGATGACTACTGAGTTTTAGAAAATTCTTTGTAAAGGTAGTCCGTTTGTGTCAATTGTTTTAGAGAAAGGGAAAACTAAAGCTTGAGGAAAATAACCTTTTCTTGAAACTTGTTCAAAATATCGTCCTTTATTCATCCTCGGAAAATTAACTGAGAATCACAGACAATAACAAATTGCATTGTTGATAGTGATACCTCATTGCTTTCTTTTTCCACTTTGTTATTCTTCAACAGTCTACACTGGCTGATCTGAGCAATGAAATACAATACAAAGGATGCAGGCAGTTAATAGATTCTGAGAATCCATTGTTTAATAGTTTCCTTAGTTATAAAGAAATGAGGGAAGAGGAAAAGAAAAAGTGCACCAAAAAAACCCTCCCGAGGTTGACAATAATTGCATCAGTTCTTGTGGAAAACATGGTTTGTTCCATTTTTCTCTCTCTTTTTTCTACTCCACTGCACTCTAAAGAGGCCTCTTGCAGAGATGAATACGAGGGCTGGCTGCAACCATTTAGATTGTTTGGTCCATGGCAAAATTTGTAAGTTAACAAACTGGAGCCAGAAGGCAAACAGAAAGGCTGAATCAGCTTCCAAAACATCGCTTTAGAAAATGTCCAGGTGATATCCATGTCAGAGATTGCTTAATGCCCTTCATGTTTAAAACAAAACAAAAACAAAAACAAACAAACAAAAAAAATGCAGTAATTAAATTGAAAAAAAAACCCAACTTGTCACTTCCTTAACTGAAGTCAGAAGGAAACATTGCACCACGATTAAAGCCTGTGCCATATCCCAGTGCTTTGTACAGCTTTGCCTTTCCTTAGTCAATAATCCTGCCAGCATTGTGTTTATGCTTCTGCACTGTGTTGCAGTTAACAAAGGTTCTTCTTAGAACCTTGTTCTCTAAAAATATTGTGGCTCTTTCTTTTGCTTTCTTACCTTCTATCAACATTACAGGGAAGTGGAAATATTATGTGAACATTAGGTAGTTTTTTTACCCAGATGTTTATTGCTGGTGGGTTTTCATTTTTCATGAACAATTGCAGGTTTTGATATGGCACAAGCTGTAACAACCCTATTGTTATACATCAATGTAGGACATAAAGTTATAAAATGATCCGAGATAAGAAATCAAATTTTCAGCTGATCTGAACTGAAGAAGAAACTTTTATGTGACAAGATGAAATAGTTTAATATTGTATTTTCCTATTTTCTGTGTTTATGAAGTAGTCACTATCACTGATGATTCACAAAACCCTGTATAAAAAGACTTAGTCATACTGAAACAGTTAAGCTAGCACCAAGTAAATTAAATAGGAAAACAAACCCAACTTGATGAGAATCTGATCCTTTAAAAATCTTCTGTTTGCAAATATTTTAAGGGAGAGCAGGGGTTTTGTTGCAGAAGAATACCTATTTTTGAATTGTAGAGACACTGATTTCAAATGTTATCACAGGCTGGTTGTGTATATTGAGTTTATTCTGTGGTCAGTTTACTCTAAAGAATAGTCCAGAAAAATGTACATGTGAGTTATATTTCTATATATACATTAGATCTCTGTCTCTTTAAATAGCAGACCCATCTCTGATGCCCCTGAGATCCAGAGAAATTAGGAATTGTTTGGTTGTAATTTATTTTGTGCGTTATATAGTATATTTATTTAAATTGGCGTAACTACAGTTTGGTTGCCAGATTGTAGTCCTTGTCAAAAGAAAATGTGCTTCATGCATACAAATGAGACACACACAATTTCCTCAGTGAACATTCCCTTCCATTTTTTATGCTTCTTTCCTATTTTCTTTGAACTGTTTTTCTTTTTTCCATTTTAACGGGCAGAAATGTTTGTGTCAGTTATAGTTTTCCGCTGTTTGGGCAATAATCACATTCTGTTTTTTCTAGGTAAAAGCAGACTATGACCATCTTAGAGAAACCCTTCTCAGAGTGACCAAAGAGCGAGATTTGGCTGTAAAGGGAAAACACCAGCTCCAAGCCAAGCTGGAGAACTTAGAGCAGGTCCTAAAGGTATGTATAATGCTCTAGCACTCCAGTACCTCTACTGCTTGTTTAATATTCCTGATGTTCATTCAGTGAGTCACAGAAGCAGAAGTGCACTGAAAACTAGGGGACTGAGTGCCCCTATTAGTTATGATAAAACATATGGAATACAGTAGACTAAGTACCTACAAGGGATCTCAAACTATTGGAGGAGAGACATCTTTAGAGATCTTTATAAATAATTGGACATAGGTTTTCACTATACAGTTATTGGAGGTAAGTCAAGATGAGAAGAAAAGGATGAGAAGTGACCATGCTGATGAAGGAAATAGAAACAACCGCCAAGATATTTTGCTTTAAAGAGATATATCTGCTGGTCTAATGTGATGCAAAATGTTACTGTGGCCTTGTGAAACAAGCTGTTGGTACCAGCACGTACTGCCTGTGCAGAGTGCCTCCCACTGTCAGGACAGGTTGCAAAAGCTGCTATTGTTTTATTAGAGAGGTCTTGTTTAAAAAGAATTATAGTGCCTGGTACATAAACACTTTTAATGTGCTTCTAGAGAAGCTTAATACGCTGCTTCTAGTCATGCTTTTCTAGATACACAGTTATTTTCACATCATCAGTTTGTTGCTTCCTTTTCAACTTAGAAAAATTCAATAATGCATTTTGAATTGTAAGTGTATTCTTCAGTAGAGGTTTCACTGTATAGTTGAAGATGATGTCCTCCTTGTGTTTTCCTGGTTATTCTGCATAATGCCATGGGACAAACTGATTCTATGAAATAGTGGAGTTCACCAGGTGAGTCTAACAGAGACGAGATCTAGCTGAGCTGATGGGGTAGAATAACAGTAAAATTCAGTTGGAAAATGGAATCAGCCAAGAGATTATTACTTGCCAGCTAGTTCAGGGGGCAATAATTTGTGTATGTTGAAACAAATTGCAGAAAAAGTTCTAGTGGTGTGAAGGAAACTGCTTTGCTAGGCAACAGCCAAATTCCCGAAATGTCGTTGATTAAATAAAGATGGAAATCAGTAACTTGATAACCCGAACCTGATAGATGGATCAGGAGGAATGGAGAAAGGTCTGAAAGGTCCATTACAGCCAGTGGGCTGGTGTCCAATGAGATGGGGTAGAGGCTGCCAGTGGAAGGAAGCATGTGATCTGATGGAAACACAAACTGGTGTGAATGGGCCACTGTTCCCAGTGAAAATATGGAAGTTGTGATGTGGAAAACTGCCACTAGAATATGCCTTAAAGAGACTTAAGCAATTAAGATCATTAAATAGAAAAAAAAAAATAAACAAAGAAAAACATCATAGAATTACAGCTGTTTTCATCAGTGAAGGAACTGCACTGGTGAGGACTACAGTAAGAATTCTTGAGAGAGAAAACACTTGTAAACACTTGTCTGTCATTCAGACCATTCAAAAAAGATAAGGATGTGTTTGTCTGATTAGAATGGAGCATTGATACAGTGCTGAAACTTTTTTGACAGACTGCTAAAGAGCTGCTTGTTTTTCATCTTCTTAAGCCCAAAGTTTTCCTTTTTCAAACCACTGAAGTGGCTAGTAAAGGAGGAATGGATGTCCTTGAGAGTAGGAGGAGATGGAAATGAAAATAAGTGGTTTGAGATGTGAAATTTCAAGCAAGACTCTTCTTTGCCGAATGTTTTAGTAATACTAAGTGGCTTCAGCCAATGCTTGTTATAAGTACAATCACTTATTTAAAAATGGATTTGTTAATGATTTTGACTTGTATCAGACTCACTCTAAAAGGGGAAAAATAGTTTTGCTGTTGGCTGCATCAGAATAGATCTGGGCTTTTGGAGATGATTATAGTGATGAAAATGGATACCTCTCTGAATTTTGAGAATGATAGATTTCGGTTTTGCCTTGTTGCGTTGCTAATACATTGTTGAAACTCTCTCTCAAGCTTTATTTGAGGAGGAGGAGAAAGTTTTTCAGCTACAGATGGAAATAAAAGGTGGTTATAAGTTATGCTGAGCCTCCAAAATACTGTGGGGTTATCAAAAGTAAGCTGGCTGCTCCATAAACAATCTTATTCCAGCAGTGTCTGGAAACTTGAGCTGTTGGAATCACATATTAGGCAATGCCAAGAGGAGTTAACTGTTGTGTGTATTGTTGTGCAGTGAATTATCAATGTCCTATTTACCAGTCAATAGGTAGCACTGATGGAATAAATCTAGACTCATGTGCAAATAAGAAATACATCTACTGGGAAAGGAAAATGAAACCGCTTCATTAAATAGAAGAGTGACACACTGTTATCTGTCTTTAGACCAACACAACTTTCCCCAGGTACAAGTAGGAAGTTTTTCCCTAGCAATGGAAAATAATTTACTTTTCCTGTTATTTCCTTCCTTTTTTTTCTGGGGAATACAAAACTGACCATTCTAGAGACGTTTATTACTAATTTGCTATTTTACTGTGAGCCATGTGCTAGTAACTACAGAAAGTAGGATCAACACCTAGAAGCTATTTCAACAGATACGGCTTGCCTGTGCTCTCTATATAATGATTGTGGGATTTCAGCTTGATAGCTGCAGAAATTCACTTCTTCAAGGAGCACAGAGTAGAAAGATAGGAGGGAAAAATGTCTAGAAAAGGAATTAACTGTGAATTCATGGCTCATAAAACAGCTTAGGTTTAGACTTTGCTTTAAGTAAATTTGCATTAAGTCTCATTTTATCAAATCAAAATACAAATTGTTTTCTTCTGGACTGTTCAGATTTTGGTTTTGCTAGGCTTGTATGGTTTTGAACACTAGAAACTCCTCTACCAACGGACTGTGTTTTATGCTCTTAAAACAAATTAAAGAATGTACTTTATTCTTTGGCCATACCAAAAAATATTTATTTTGCCGCTCTTTAATTAGGTTATCTACTGGCATTTGTTTAATGATTCCTCCAAATTTCTTCTGTAGAAGAGCTGAATCTGGCTATTTGACTTATTTCACTTAACTTCTACTGCACTAATATTTCTTAAGGACGTGGGAGAATCATTTTGTAAATCTCACTGTCCTGCTTAAGAACTCTCTCACTGAAACAAAAATTTTCTGGTGGATATAGAGATCCTGGCTTTTCACATTCAATAGTTCTCTTTCTTGAGCAGAACCCTTCTGATCTGGCAGACTACCTTGAACAGGCTTGAAACCGTAAATCTCCTTATGAGCACTAAACCATGCCCAGGCAGATGCAGTTAATTGTGTATTTCATGTGTGTCCTCATATGCTCGGGAAATTAGTAGTCTGAAAAAATGGTTTGCAGCTTTCCAACCATTGGAAACTTTTGAGAAATACTTAGCCTAGTTTCCCTGTCAAAAGAGAAATTCAGTTTCTCTTTTGAGAAATTGAGAATGTATCAACAAAGCAGAAAAGGGAAGATGAAGAACTGCTGAATTAGCTAACTTCTGAGAATCTTCACAGTGCCTCTCACATAGAGCAGTTCTGATTTTCTGATGTGTTCAGCCAGCTTTTCTCATTCATTCCACTGTAATGGTGCCCACCCATCTGCAAGTGCAGATGACAAGTCTTTGAGAAGAGTGCTCGGGTGAGAATTAAATTTGCTCCCCATTCAGCATCACGTATGAGATCTGTCTCATAAACAAGGCTTTAGTACTTGAAAGCCATTTGAGTTTGTTCTACCATTAACCAGTTGCACACTTTAAAACTGTAAAAGTCACTGCTATAAGAAAGAATGGGTTTCTTTGTTTTGTTTGCAGCTGTAGGTAATGTAGTGTACCCACTGAAACGGCTGGAGCTAGGATGGGCTGTGTGCTGTCAAATCCCCCTGCTGCCCATGAGGAAGCGGGAAAACCAAGAACTGTTTGAGCAGGTCCCGTAAGAGCTATTTCAGAAACAGTTTACAGCTGTCTAGCTCTACAGTTTGAAAGGAAACTGAGATGTGCACAACGGCCCCAGTTCATTCTCTGCTATGTAGCAGGATTCTTACCTTTGTTCTGAAAGATAGTCTGAAAGTGTCTTTCTTTGAAGGACATAGCATTATTTGCCAATTGTTTTGAAATATCAAGTCCTTACTGTATTTTTTTTCTATGCTCTTTTAGAAGTGGATTTGCTGTCTGATGTTAGAGTAATGCTATTAGGACGTCTAGAAATAGTGCAAAAAGGGAAGTACAGATTTACATGTTTAGAAAGCTCTAACCTGCCTCACATTAAGGACAGCGATAGCAAGGCCAGATGGATTGCCACCACTTACACAAACCATGGCAATGTGATCATTGTGGAAATCAGTCCTGAAGGAAGATGCTGAAAGAATTCAGCAGCTTAGAGCTTTCTCCCTGCTGTTCTTCTAGTGATCTCTGCAGTCCTCCTCCACAACCCTAACCTGTTCCCCTCGGGCTCAGAAGAAATGACAGCAGCTGATGTGCAGATCGGAAGCACAGAACAGATTTGCAGACAGAACCGATTTGTGAGCAGAGTGGGAGGGGAGGAATTGCTTCTGGCTTGGGGGAGATTTAATTGCTGTGCCAGGGGAGGGACAGAAGCTGGGGTGAAGAGATCCTTGCTGCTTTAAATACTAAGTAGATCATGACAATACTGAAGTGGCTGAGAGATACTTTTAGGTTAACATAGATGCCCAAATGGTCTTTTCTGACCTTAAAATCTGTGAACTGTAGATCGTTAAATATGTATTTTAGGAAAGAGAGAAATTAAAAGCTGGGGAGAATCACAGATCATGTATCACAATCTGTTTCTTCATTTCATTTTACAGATTCACTGTATGGTCGTGGTATTAATTATTTATTGATCTCTGCAGAGGACTAGAAATGTTCTGTAGTAGCTTTTGTAAAAGTAGTAAGAACTTAATGGTATCAGAATATGCTGTACCAAATACGGTACTAAATCTTGAGAGAGTAAAGTGAGACCTTTGGTTCTTTTCTGATAATTAAAGGTTTTAATTAAAAGTGTGAGAATGATTTAATTGCCTCACCATTTCTTGAGTATAAGAAATGTGCTGATGCTCCACCAGTATTTTACATAAGACTTGATGGAAGCTGCTGAGCTCAGTAAATGTAGCTTCATGCTAGTTTAAATCATCAGTAATACTAGTTAGGAAAATAGATTATGTTCATTCAGATGAGATGAGAATCAGAACCATTATATTTGGATATTATTACATACAGTGAGTAGATGTTACCCATGAACAGATCCATTTAAGTTTTGTTACAATACACACCGTTCAGAAATATCTACAGTCAAAATAGGGAATCCTCACAAAACTCCTAGAAAACAAGCCATAGCTGAGAGTCAAAACTTGATGAATTGGAAAAATTTTTGTTTGTTTGTTTTTAATCAACATATCGAATGAAAATAAATAAATCCCAAGCAGAGGCCAAATGGAGTATTGGAGACATTTCTACTTCCTTTGCAAACATGTCCAGATTGAGGGAAATTGGCCTCGCTGTGCTGTCCCTCTTTGTTACGAGTAACGTGTAGCAGAGAGTAACAGCTCATTAAAGGTTAGCAATATGCTTGATAAAATTTTCTTCTGTACACAATAAGAGATATTTTGGGCTGTTCTTGTCAATTTTAGCCACCCATTTGTGTTTCCGAGTGCTGATTCCTAATAGGTTTGTGTGTAATAAGTCATGGTGCTGCAGATAAGACATTGTGCCTCTGCTGTGAGAGTATTATGGGAATAATATGTAATTTGGAAAATAAAAATCTTTAATACTAGTTTCACCAAAGAAGAGATCAGAATCTATAAAGAGTTCTATCTTAACTCCCATTTATTAACAGGGTTTTTGAAAGTTATAATGATATTGGGAGAAAAATATTAACCTGTAATGAAAAAGATTTCTATCTGCAAAGGGTATCTTGACGTTGTTCAGATTGTGCTCTTCACAAGATCCTTTTTCATGTTGCTTTGAATTGTTAGGAGGGACTGTACTTTAAAATTGGTTTTGAGTACTGTGTAGTCACTTTTGTCCAAATCCACCTGTGTTCATTCTGGTCTGTCCAATTTGCTATAAATAATAGGCAGAGATTAGCAAAGGTAAGCTATTTCTTTTGGGTCATCATTCGCAAAACAAATCACAAGCCCATAGCCTAGATAAAGAGGCATTTAGGGAATTGTCAAGCTAGTTTTTTTCCAAGCTTTAATTCTTCAGCACGATGCCACATATAAATGTGTGCCTGACAGATAAAACGGTTACTGTTCACTTGTGTATCAGAGGCCACATTGCTGGCAATGACAGAGTTGTGTATCCTAAAAGAGATTGCTGTCTAAATGCCTGAGTTTAGCATTGGCAATATGCCTCGAAGTAGTGACCAAAGTAAAATCCTATCCAGTTTCCCACTTGCCTCTCAGTGATACCAGAGAGCTTTTATGTTGGGATGAACATCTGCACGCCTGGGAATGGCAGCATGGTTGGCTGCAGGTGGAGTGTGTTCAAGTCTCCTGATAGTTTTTCTGCTTCCTTTGAAACAGCATATGCGAGAGGCTGCTGAACGGCGGCAACAGCTGGAGTTGGAGCATGAGCAAGCCTTGGCTGTTCTCAACGCCAAACAGCAGGAAATTGAGCTCCTGCAGAAGGTAAGGGGAGAAAGGGGCAGTCAGGTGAAATAACAAATTGCAGCCACAGAGCGCAGGAATGACACAGATCTCCTGGTCTGAAGGAATTTAAACCACAACCGCCAAACTGGTTCCTGTTCCGGATTGTTCTACGTGAATGCTGATGCCAGTTGTAAGAAGTGGACGTTTACTGGGTGATTGTGCTAACTGATTTATAAAAGTTTATGCCAGTGACGATTAACCTGACCATTATGTATAAGTTCTTGTATTTCCCAAGGGAGAAACCCAATACAAATACATATATTTCCTTTGTATTTCCATTGCTTCCCTCTATATTGGGCTCGGGAATATCTGTGCATTCTTTAAATGTCAGGAAGGAATCCACCTTCCTTAATTTCATGATAATCAAAATAAGGGGAATCCACCATTTCCTTGTCAGTTAATCATTCTCACTGACATATTAATGTTTTGTTAGGATTTATTTGGCTTCCTCTTCCAGACATTGGCAATTCTTGCTACCTTTCTCCACTAAATTAGATTAAAGTAAATCTTTGTCAAGGTATTTATACATGACAGTTGATCTTTTTCATAAACTAAGCAGTTGTTTAAGTACCTCGTTTCCAAACTCATTCTCTAATTCACAAATCACTTGAAGACATTTTTTTTTTCACACTGAAACTTCTCAGCATTCATTATAATATAAAAAACATGACATTGAGTTTCAATCTTACCAAAGTCACTTAAAGCTGCTATTGTCTCAGTACTAACGTTGATTTTTCCAATTGCTTGACTAGATCAAAACACAGAAATAATAATGCTAATGATAATTTGGTGGAGAATTGGCATGGAGGGACATTCACAGCAGAATAAAAAGATGTATCTAATACAGTTTGCTTGAAATAGAAAGCTTCAGTCGACCACATGAAATCTTCCAGTTAATTTTCTTTTAGCCTTTCACAATTAATCTATTTAGGCGTATTTCAAAATGCCATTTCTAGTTATATTTAGCTGTTATTATTTGAACTTCCACATAAATTTTGGACTTAAATTTCTTGGCAAAGCAAAGGAGTCAAAGAAAAGTACAGCTTTTCTTCTTGCTAATTTTTTTACATTCTTCTAATAAATCCACATTGCATGGGTCTTTTTGTTACAGATTGGCAACAGGAGACAAATTTCTGTAATACTGTTTTCTCCACTAATTTTTGCTAAGCTGTAGCAAAAAAAAAAGATGTAGTTTTTAATGCTATAGAATAAGAATGAAGACCAGATTAGTACACTGGATGGGTAGAAGAGGGACAGTATTGAAAACACTGAAAAATTTTGGGAGGATATCTGTATTGTTCACTGTTATACCTTGTAGAGAGATAGCCAAGCTACCTCTGGGCATGGCAGTAAAGATGAGTGCAGACTGATTTGTCCTTTTTTAGCCTGTAGGCTGCTGGTATCCAACACACCTCCTTTGCAACATTATAATGCACGTCTATTTTCAGAAAAATAATTTAAATAAATCTGTTACCTAAGTAACTATAATACTTTGCTTCCATCATTAAACAGGAATTGCTGGCTCACGTTTCAACCAGAGCTGACCTCTCACTGCACCTAGTACATGTGTGTTTAATTCTTTCTTCCTTTTTTTTTTTTTTAATTGGAGTAATCTAACTAGTTGAAAAAGTACCGTGAAATAAAAGTAGTAACTCCAGGCAGTAACAGGATGACATTTCACAGCATATCTTGTTACTGTCATAAAGTTGCTGATGAACTACAGGAATGTGCACTTCAAAACAAAGCCAGTTATTGGCACAGCCTGATGCATTTGCTGTCACATTTTGATATGATAAATAAAAATCCATTGTGTTTTTAATATATCTACAGACTGATCAGATTTTCAGCCTAAAAGGAAGAATATAATATTGTTCCTCAAGGTTTTGTGTTGATAGGGAATCAGATGGTCTTTTCCTCCAAGCAAGCCTAAATACAAGACAGTTCGATGTAAAAGAGAGATAGCTATCGTTGCAGGTTTTCTTATCATTTATCAAGAACTCATATTCTGGGTAGATTTTATTAAACTTGTAATGATGGATAACATAAGGCTTTCTATTACCTGTCATCATGTGTTTAGTAATGCTTATGGAGCCAGGATTTGATCAGGTCCTAGCAATAAGGCTTACTACATGAAGAAAGATGACTGCACTTGCAGGACTGAAGAAGGCTTTATTACCATGCACGACAGTGAAGTGTAGCTTGGGTGTATGGTTTTAGTTATGTCTTTACAGCCTCGCCCAGCTTCCACTGAAACCAGTAACAGAGTCTGGTAGCCCTCACAGATGAGGAAAATGAAGTTAGCATACTTGTGTCGGTGTCCATCATGGGAGTATCTGGCCCAATAAATCAGAAAGTCTGTGTGGCATTTCCCTCTGCTAAACTAGAGGGTTTTAAGACTTTCCTCTGATGGAAAATGTATAGAATGTGATTTTTGGGTTACAACGATAAGGAGTTAAGAGTCAAAGATAATGCATCACATAGCTATCCAATGGTTAATAGAAAGTTTTACTTATTGTGGGCAAGCTTCAGTAAAGAAGATAGTGAAAATTTAAGTGGAGATAAAGTGATGATAACACAAAGTTACTGAGTGATATTTTTTAAGATTTAAAATTTTCCTGACTAAAATTTGATAACTGATTGAGCCCCTCTTTTCTTCTTTGACTCAGTTGATTGGACCCTAAACATTGCACTCCTATTTACAGACTACCTTTCTTGTAGTGTTTTGCCTTGACGCATTTTGTGAGCTCTTTACTTAGAAGATAAATACTGTTTATGCATGTAAAGCATGAGCTTAATTTTTGTGTTTCTTTCTTGTAGCTGGTATGGTAGGTCTCTACACTAGGAACCTCCTGCAATGTAGAATAACAAGCTCATTTTTCAATTTTAACTTAGAGGGTTTCAGAGATACTTCGATGTGCTCTTGCAGTGTGTTGAGCATGCTTGCCTTGGTCCAACAAAATACCAGTGCTATTAAGCTTCACTAAGATTCAGTCTCCTAAAAATAAGCATCTATTTCAGTGGCTTGGAACCAAAGCACTGTAGTAATATTGGCGGAGCCATCCCTTCAAGACTGTAATTGGCTTTGGATTTGAGGTTACAGTATGCTACTTTATGTGGTTAGAGCATATTATATGTGGCATGCCTAATTGATTTATCTTTTACTTTTTTTCTGCTCCCTCTCCCTCCCCCCCCCCCCC